GGAGGTTGCAGTGAGCTGAGATAGAGCCAGGGCACGCCGGCCTGGGCAACAGAGCAAGACTTTGTGTCAGAGAAAATAATTAAGTAAATTTTATTATGGAAATTGTCAACTGCTTCAAATGAAGGAATAATAGTATAAGGAACCCAACTTCACTGCGGCACCTGCCGTAAGCTTCAAGCATTTATCAGATCTGAATACCGCTGCGATGTTTGTTTGGAAGGACATTTAGACATCTGTTGATACGAGCCAGATGCTGTGGTTCGTGCCTGTAATCCCAGCTACTTAGGAGGCTGAGGCAGGAGGATGGTTTGAGCCAAGGAGGTCAAGGCTGCAGTGAGCTGTGACCGTGCCACTGCACTCCAGCCTGGGTGACACAGCCAAACTCCATCTCTACAAAAAGAAAAACAAGAAGAAATCCATTGGTATGAAAAGGAAATACTGACTTAGTTGCCCTTCTGGTTTTGGAGGGGGTAAAAAGTGGTACTTCACTTTCAGAGCTCAGTATCCTGCAAGGTTGTGGGGCTCTGAAAACAGTAGGTGCTCCGTAAGTGTTCACTGAATGGATGAGTCAGCACTGGATGTGAGCAGGAGGCTTGTGAGGAGCAGGCTGCTCCATTGCCGGCTCGGCTTTCCCGCAGCATGCAGACCTAAAGGGGGCTTCGGCGCTCCTTCCACGTCTGCAGGTGTGGTTAGCGACTTCACACGTGGTAGGTAATTTGACCAATGGAAGATCAACTCAGCCAGCACCGTAGGGGACCGCTGTGCCTCAGCTCTGGATAGAAAAGATGAGGCACAGCCCCTGCCAGGCCCGAGTCCGCGAGAAGTGGGAGGTCTGTGCCCAGCCCCACAAGCCACACCCATCATTTAAGTCTGCAACGGATTTTAACTGGGGTTAGACCGCCCTTCACATGGTGGGGGCACCCCCATGAGAATGCCACCCACGCATCTGACCAGCTGGCTACAAACCTAGGGGTTCCCATGACCCTGTCATGTTTGATCATTGGCCGGATCCACTGCGCCCAGCCTTTAAAAAAATTTTTTTGATGCTGGTGTTAACTTTCAACCCAAAAGTTAAGCATTGATTTGACTCCTTGTCTCTTCAGTCGCCTTATAAATGATTCATACGGTTGGGAGCAAAGTTGTTCTTTCGCCTTTTGTCCTGCAGGAGGGGGGCACAGGCTCCGGGTCAGCCATGGAACCCTGGCCTCCAAGGTGGTAGACACAGCGTCTGGAGAACACTCCTTTCCGGCATAGCCACTGGAGATTCTGCGCCTCAACACTCCCAGTTGGCAAGGGAAGCAGAGAAAAGTGTGGCTTGCAGTGCAACCCTTGAAAACAGAAGCTTGCTAAACACGTGGAAAGCGTGACCAGAATTCTTAAGGAACTGTGAAGTGAAGAGGATGCTGCATTTGGAAGCTGTGAGATTGCTCCAGGATTCCAAACCTCAGAGTAGCCTCCAGGCTGCTGGGAAGAATCAGATGCATGGCCTAAATAAAAAGCAGCCCCCTAGCCAGGCAGGGGCAGGGACATGAGAGTTCACACACTGTGCGTGTGTGTGTGTGTGTGTGTGTGTACTCATGGACATCAGAGTTCACACACTGCATGTGTGTGTGTGTGTGTACTCATGGACATGAGAATTCACACACTGCGTGTGTGTGTGTGTACTCATGGACATCAGAGTTCACACTGTGCATGTGTGTGTGTGTGTGTGTACTCATGGACATCAGAGTTCACACAGTGCGTGTGTGTGTGTGTGTGTGT